CTCCTTGATTTTGCCTTTCAGATACTGGAGCTTCTTATGAAACCTCATTCCACTCCATTTCACTATTGGATTGCTTTCTAGCCACCACTCTTTGACTTTCTTTATGAACCTCGGGTGTCCTATCCACATGTTTTCAAACCTAAAGGGAGCAGGACCAACACTTCTCACATCCTCCCTACAGATTACAATAGGCCAATGGTTAGAAGTCACCCTTGGATATGCTCTAGAGTTTAGATTCCCCCAATGTTCTTCCCAGTCATTTGATAATAGAAATTTATCCAGCTTAAAGCAAATCGGGTTCACTTGGAGATTGGACCAAGTAGAACAGTTGTGTGATAGTGGGATCTCTTTAAGCTCGTAAACATCCACAAATTTATTGAATTTCCTCATACTCAAGGTCGATCTCTGGATTCTCCGCCTCGAACTATTTGTCTCTTCCAGGAATCTTATAACATTAAAGTCACCTCCAAGACACCAAGGCCCTTCCCATAGTCCCCTTATATCGGCCAGTTCTTCCCACAAATTCCTTCTCTCTCTGTAATCATTTGGACCATATACATTGGTAAGCACCCATTCAAACCCATCTTCCACTTGTTTAAACTTCAAGGAAATTGAAAATTGGCCTATTAACTCTTCCGGACCTATGAGTACTTCATTCTTCCACATTGTGACAATACCCCCTGCAGACCCCCAAGAAGGCAGAGCTGCCCAGCTAATCCCCCTGCCTCTCCAGACACTCCTTGCCCACCTAATGTCAAAATCTGCTCTCTTGGTCTCCTACAAAAGTACCACATCTGGGTTTGTTTTCTTGATGGCCTCTTTTATTACTGCTCTCTTCCTAGCACTTCCCAAACCTCTGATATTCCAGCTTAAGATCCTCATCTAACTATCTTCTTGCCCCTTAGACCCTCCTGCCCTCAGTTATTCCTCTTCCTTCTTTCTCCTTTGACCTTCAAACCTCTATCTCTTCCCATATTTACATCCATTTGAGCCCAGAATTAGTATTAGTGATGCATTCCTAAGATTTATATAAATGCCCTTAATGTATGAAGTTGGCTTCAGTTAGTGCATGCCCGGTGCTCACACCATTCGAACCTTAGGAGAATGCGCCACGCATCCATATGCGCATGTGATTGCTAAACGCGTGTGCCCTCAAATGAATTTTGATTTTTTTTCTTCTTTCATTTCCCTTCCCACTTCTCTCTCTCTAGAACCTAACCCACCAAACCCCCTATTCACTTTCTCCCTCTCCAACTGATGGTGATGATGGATTCACCAGTGATTGTTTCCACTATTAACTAGCAACAAAACACACGGCAGTGTTGAGAGAGTTTTTTCTCCATGTTTATATGTCACACAACACTGAAATTTTTTTGGGGAAGCAAAAGGAAGAAGGAATTACCCGAGATTTATCGACAATTGTGGGTGGAACAATCGCTATTGAAGCCCTTTCAGTTGAGGAGAGAGAGAGAATGAAAACATTTTATGGTCAGGCTTTTCATGGGAGAAAACAAAATACTATGTTTGGGGAAGTAAAAAGGAAGCAAGACTAACCTGGTTTTTTCGACGTCGCCGTCAATTGGAGAGGGAGTGAGTGAATAGGGGGCTCGGTGGGTTGGGTTCTAGAGAAAGAGAAGCGAGAAGGGAAAGGAATGAAGAAACAAATCGAAATTCATTTGAGGGTGCACGGACTTAGCAATCACACACACATATGAATGCGTAGCACGTTCTCCTAAGGTTCAAACGGTGTGAGCACAAGACGCGCATTGGCCGAAGCCAAACTCTTAATGTATATATGTCTATCTTTATTTTTTATAGGTGCAATGGATGTTCACCAAAATTTAATCCATATTTATTTGTGCAAATCATAGATGTCTTGACTAAACATATTTAAAGCATCTCTTGATGCACTTTATTTATTTATTTCATTGTTTTAATTGATAAAACTAATAAAGGATCAAAATATAGATAAATACCTTGGAAACAAGAGGTTTTAAATAAATAAGACAAAAAAAGAATATATGATATATAAATTTAACAATAATAGAAGTGCAAAACAAAGTATACTTAGGATTAAAAGACAAAGAAATAACTCAATATGACCTTTTTGTATTACATTGGTTTGATAATTCATAACGATGAAGAAATTGAGTAGAATGTCACCCATAAAATCAGAGCAAGATGAGCAAAATGAAGGGTCTAGAATCATATGTGACAGTTAGTACCACTTAGATTAAAAGAAAAAATCTGTGACGTAAAACTATGTTGTATGGAACAAAGTTGGGCAATCTTGGGCTGCAAACGGATCATATCAAATTGGATACAAGCATATCCAAATTTGATTTGATTACATTTGAATTCGAATCGGATCATATCTATTGGATATCTAGCGGATTCGAATTGATTTCAGATTATAATCGGATATTAAATAGTATAAATAAATTAGACTAAAAATGACCAAAATATTATATATTATTAATAATATGAGCTAAAAATGACTTTAAATTTATATTTTATGAACAAAATGAATTAAAAATTACTTGCATAAAACTTGAACATATGACAATTTAGTGAAAATACAACATTAAGAAAACTTTAATCACAGATATAATACAATTTTTTAAGTATATGTGAGCATATATATTTAAATCGAACCGAATCGGATTACATCAAATCAAATAGGGGTAGATCCATWTTTGATCCGATTATAAACGGATCGAATTCGCATCACCCTTAATAGGATCAAATTCAAAATCAGATAATCGAATGCTGTTTGCAGCCCTAGGGCAATCTAGAAGCATGCCTAAAATTAAATATACAGATATGCATATGTTGAGATGGATGAGTGAAAAAACTTAAAAAAAATGTTAGGGTCATAAATAAAGTCATTCAAAGGAAACTAGGACCACCATCAATATGTGATAAAATGAAAATAACTAAAATGGTGTAATCACATGCATAAAAAACCTAAACAAAACAATAGTGAGAAGAGATTTGTTGAAACTTGAAAATTGAAAGGGATAGAAGGATTAGTTGTAGACAAAAAAGACATGGGAAATACTAAGTAATGATTTAGGATGATTTAGGTACTAATAATTTAACAATAGATATAGCATTAAACAAAACCAGAATGACAAAATATGATTTATGTAACTAACCCCATATAGTTGAGAAAAGGCTTGGATGATAATGATGATGATCCATTCTTTTCTGCTGCATATCCCCATACATTTCTTACATTTTTTTTTTTTTAATTTGAGGTTCATTATGTTTTTCATTTCCTATTTTTTCTTTTTGTTTATTCTCATTTTAAAAGAACGTTATTTGGATTTTTTTAAGTTACAGCTACAAAATTTTGTAGATTTCTAAATTAGAATAAATAGATTGTCTTTTACGAATTTTAAGTGAATTACGGGCAATTTTGTCACTTAATGATTTAAACCAACAGTTTTAAATGGTTTTTAAGGTGGCAGGGACACGGATGTATGATCTGTAAAACAGAGGATGGATGCAAAAACAGAAAAACATAAAATATACAAAATCCATAAAATAGAAAGAAATAAAAAAAAAAGAAAAACTTCTACAGTAAGAATCCTCACATTTGAAAGCACGCATCCTCATCTAAAATGGATTCATCAAGAAAACTTAAGTCGTTTCTTATCAAAGATCAACACATTTTTGAATAGTTCCAGTACGTTGCCTATTCTGTATTATTCAAATTCCGGGTCGGTTCTTCCAATCAAAGAAACACTCTCAGTAATTATGATTTATGAATACATAATTCCAGCGGTTTAATACATGGGTCAGATTGAATAACTATGGTAACACATAACATCCAGCAGCGTGAGCGCAATTAAATAGCTTTACTTCAAAGACTCAAATGGTAGCCCAGTTTGGTTCACTGCTTGGTTCACTGCTTTGGGCCATGTTTGGTTCACTGCTTTGGGCCTTATTTTTTTAATTCTTGCTTATTCTAAAAATGGACAAGAATGAATAGCATAGTGTTTGATTATAAAATTCTTGTCAAGAGACACATTCTTTTAGAATAAAAAATAGCCCCATGTCACAAAAATTGACTAGTCATGAAAAATAATCATACCCCAAAATTGACTAGTCATGAAAAATAATCATACCCCATCTTGTTTATTTCATTCTTCGAAGAAACTTTACCTATAAAACTGTTGTCATAGATGTTTACTTTTACGAAATTACTTTTACAAAAGTACTTTTACGAAAACACTTTTATAAAAGCACTTTTGCAAAAATAATTTTATAAAAACACTTTTATGAAAGTACTTTTATGAAAACACGTTTATGAAAATACTTTTATAAAAACACTTACAAAAAATTTTATGAAAGCACTTTTTTAAAAATACATTACTAAAACAATTCTATGAAAATACTTTTATAAAAACACTTTTATGAAAGTACTTTTACAAAAGCACTTTTATGGAAGTAGTTTTACGAAAGCGCTTTTACAAAACATCTATGGCAATTGATAAACATTGACTATTGGAGACCTAGGCTGACGGTTTGTGATTACCAGCACAATTTTTTTTTTTTTTTATGAATGAAAATGGGCAACATAAGACACTTGTCAGTCTGAAAAGAATTCATTTTTAGGAAAAAAGTGCTTGGTTCATAGCACTATTTTCTCATTCTACCTATTTTTACCCATTCTTTTCAATTTTAGAATTTCATCATGGGTGAGAATGAGAAAAAATGAGAATTGAACCAAACATAATTAAACAAGCCAAAGAAACTAAGACCGCAAAGGCACTTAAGAGTTAAGACCAATGCTATTATCACAATGCTTGTTTAGGTAAAAACCAAGTTATAAACAGCGAATGCTGCGAATTGAATCTTGTCACGATTATAATTGATTTTCTGGGGTTACCACTTACCAGCCATAAAGGGTGACTACAGGTGTAAGACCAACAATAGAACTCCGAGGAGTGATATAACAATTTTATTTGAAGATAATCAACGATTTGCACAAATTTGCACAAAAAGGGTTTCCATCGGAGTCCTTTACTATTATAAGTGAACGTATATACATATGATGAGATGCATGGAAATTAAGGAAAAGGGAAAAAGACTAGGAGACCATAGTTTCTGCAGAATTTCAAGGGCCTCTATAATTCTTTTAATCACCTACCTTAGATGTTTGGAATATACAATTCTTTTAATCACCTCGAGTTCTTCAAGCAAGTGAATTGGCACCAGAGAAAATGCAATGAGTGATCACACTTGAAGAAGATTATTCACAGTAACGGCAACAGAGTTTGTTCGCTGCAAGTCCTGAAAAGTTTTGAAAAGGTTGGACTTTTGAAGTGAACTAAACAGGTAATTTTAAAAAACAAAATTCAACTCAGATTTACAGTCATCTCACTCAGCTACAGAACTTTCCCAGGAGCCACCCAGACACCCAGAGATACTGCTTGTATCTAGGGCAGTTGGGGCCCTGTCCATCAGGATTAAACTTGGGCTCTCTTGCTCTTCATGAGACTTCTGCAACATGACATATGCTTAAATCTTTCTTCGTTATTCGTAATAAAAGTTTTTGTAATGTTAATAACTGGGAAAAAAACTACCGCTTGTACACATGGTCATGGCACTTTTCCTTCTCTTCATTCTAATGGTAGCCTCCATTTTCTTAGCTACTTTTATCTTAAAAAATAAAGAAACAAAAAAGATAGAAAATAAAATACAGGGTATCAACAACCAAGCCTGCCAAGAAGAGAAACCTAAAAATCTCTCCATCTTGAATCTTAAAAGAATCTATCCAGTAAAGGAAAAGCTTTTTTCTAGGCATAACAAAAGGTAAGAACAAAAAAATGAAAAACCAATGGGGTAATAAAGGCCGAAGGCATGCTCCCATCTGCCTTGGAAAAAGCACCTATCCCAGCTACATCCGAAGGAAAGAATAAAGGATCTCAGGAAGGTTATGTCACAATCAGCTGTCACGTACTTGGTCTCCGATCAACACTCAGGACTCTATTAACCAACTCCACTTAGGGCTCCTTAACTAACTCCACTACTGGCCCACATGACCCACTCCTCATTTAATGGACTCCATAATCAAATAACTGACCACTTAATGAACTCTACAACCAAATAACAAACCTCTCCTACTACTATGCCCATCCTCCACGTGAAGTTGGGTCGTTCTTTTGGACTCTAGATATTTGAACACATGGACCCATGGTCCTATGCACGTAACAACTCCCCCCTAAATCATAACGTTCTTGTCCTCGAGAACGAAGGCTGTGAATTGCAGGTATCTCTTGTCCAGTACCAACTTCAATTGCCGATGATGTTTCTCCATCTAAGTATTCATTCATTTCTCCAGGCCAATCAATATCCTTCTATGAGAAATAATTTCTTGCAGCAATGGCCTGGCTCAAAGTGTATCACAATTGAAACATAGGCCTTTGTCCCTTCTTTCTTGGATGTCAGCATATGAAAGCTTCTTGATGGATGGTGCCGTTTTGACCAGGCTTCATGTGCACTGCATGTTTGGGTTCAGACAAATGAGCTAGTCCTATTGCTATAGATAATGTTTGAAGATTTTGCACGAGGACATCCACCATTATGGATTCTTTTAACCCACTCACAAAACAACTAACCTGTTGTAAGGGAAACAAGTTCCTAGCTCGACATAGGGAACTTCTTAAACTGTTGATAGTAATCTCATACCAAACCAACTTGCTCAATTTGGTAAGATCCCCAAGGAAATCTTCAAACAGAGTTGGCCCAAACCGTTCATGTAGGCCTTGCTTCAAGATGGTCCATGTAACGATTTCATGTTCATCCTTGAATATCTGGTACCATAATAGAGTGCCTCCTTCAAGGTGGTAAGCCGCCATTGGTGCCTTGTCTTCTTCTGAGGTATCTTGAATGGCAAAGAATTGCTCAACACAGAAAATCCAGCTTGTAGGATCTTCAGCTCAACTATATTTGACAAAATCCAACTTGGCAACCCGAGAGGCCCATAAACTTGAAGATCTTAAGGTAGTGCTATTGCCATGCCCAAAAACCATTGTATTTCGTGACAGTGACCTTTCAGATTGCTCCCATTCCTGGTGAGCCTTGAGATGATCTAATTTCCTGCTCCAAGCAGCCAAGGTTTCTTTGAACTCTTTCATCGTTCTCTCTTGGCTCGACGTCAGGCTACAGAAACTTGCTTCAAGCTGAGAAAGGTGTGGATCGTCAGCCATCCTTGACTCTGATACCAAGTTGTCATGTACTTGGTCTCCTATCAACACTCGTTTCTCACTCTTGCGGTGCTTAAGTGTTACAGTGAGAGGAGAGAGAAAAGACTCAGAGAGAATAGGAAGAAAATAAAGCTAGAGAAGAATTCTCCAACGATAAGATAACATCTATTCACCTAAAATTACAATAACAAAAAAGTAGGGACTTAAATAGACTTCACAAGACTCTAATAACTGAATCTGCTACTGCCCGACATGGCCCACTCATTTAATGGACTCCATAATCAAATAACTGACCACTTAGTGGACTCTACAACCAAATACAAACCTCTCTTACTATTATGCCCATCCTCCACGTGAAGTTGGGTCGTTCTTTTGGACTCTAGACATTTGCACACATGGACCCATGGCCATATGCACGTAACACAATCAGTCTGTAATCTATATTTGTAATTATATAATTATTACAAAACCTAATGAAACAGGCATGCACCTAAGTTTTTCAGCCTCCAATTTGTAGGACAGTTCTTTGTAAGTGGGTGCTGTTAATATAAAACTGATGGGTCAATAGAAAGATAAAAATCTTGTCTTATTGACCTAGCATAAACTCAGACATATAGTATTGATTATCAAGACCCTTTTGCTCTGGTTGCCAAGATGATTTCTAATTGATTTTATCATCTCAAGTCCCGAAGTCAAGTTTGGTAGATCTAAGGGTTGCAGACTTTGGAAATCAATCTATGGCCTGAAACAGTCTTCCATGGCCTAGTTTGATAGATCTAAGGGGGTTCTTCATAGAATTGAGTTCACCTAAATCCCATGTGGCTCATACACTCTTCATTAAGAGGAAAGTTGGCCATCACTATTCAACAATGGAGATGGCATTAAACACAACAGAATGAAGAAGCAGGATTCATGTACCCAACCGTATATGGTTGGGATAAGGCTTAGATGATAATGATGCTATTGTTGTCACAGTAGATGATCCAATAGCAATTACACAGTTAAAGCAATTATTGATAGTTGAAGTTCAGATCAATGGCATCAGGGATCTCATATATTTCTTGAAAATAAAGTTTTCCTTATCAAAGAAGGGTATCTTTATCACCTTGGAGAAGAATGTACTTGACCTTTTGAAAGGCAAAGGGAAATTAGGAACTAAACCAATCAATACTCCTTTAGATCCTAATCACAAGCTATGTAGAGATAATGGTAAGGTGTTTCCAGACAAGGGTGTGTATCAAAAAATTTGTAGGAAATCTTTTGTTCCTTTGTCTAACTCATAATAATATCTTATATGAAGTATTGTGTTGTGTTGTTAGTACATGCGTCAATCCACAATCTCTGATATGGCAGCTACAAACAAGATACTATAGTTACTTCAAGGGAGCCCCAAGTAGAGGTCTCCTCAATTCTTCTCATTGTCATCTCCAAGTGAAAGCTTATATAGACACAGACCAGGTAGGTTTTGTCAATGCAGTCTACTGGTTATCACACATTTTAGGTGATATATTATTTTATTGAAGGAAAAAGAATCAGTTCCTAGTTGCCAAATTGAGTGTAAAGGCTGAACACAAAGCCATAGCACTTGGGATGTCAAAGCTATTATGGCTAAAGATCTTATCAGATGAACTGGGCATCATCTCTAATAGCCCTATGAAGCTTTACCAAGACAAACAAGTAGCAACCTATATTGCACACAATCCTGTTCAACATGATCATGACAAATATTTAGTGGTGGATAGACATTTCACTATAGAACAAGTAGCAAATGGAAAAGTGTGCTCATCATTTGTCAAATATAAGTCTCAGTTGGCTGATAATCTAAGGGAGGTGTTCAGCCCAAACTAGGAGATAACCTATGCAAACTAGGCATATGCATAAAAATTATGCTTATCTTGAGGGTGAGTTTTGAGCTATCTATTATTGTCTTCTAGGAGTAGTCTTTTAGTCCTTCTAAGTTCTAAAATCAAGGTTAAATTTCTAATTTAAGATCTAATAAAACAGATTCAGGCCTATTTTTGTGCTCAAATTCTGCATCTCTCCATTTATTCTCATCTACTTTTTTTTTCTTGCTTCAAATTACTTAATTGTTTAATTGAATCAATATTTTTAGAACTCCTTTAAGCAAGCATCCAAGAACCAAGGAGAAATGGAGCATGTCCACTCAAGGCCTCAAATAATGTCTCAATATCCTTGAATATGCACCAGTTCCATTCCTCCCCAAAACACATTATTGCACGAATACTCCAATGTCTTGCTCATGATATGAAGCTTTTTCCATCTCCAACATCATAACATGTATACATAAATATGAAATATTATGTACCATGTTTTAAAACCCAACCCAAAGATTGAACCAATTCCAGGTGACATTCCAATGGTTCAATTATCCAGATTAAAGTTTGGAAAATAAGTGTTTTACAAGCATTAGATTGGGATTTTTTGAACTCAAGATCTAAAGGTTTGGTCTTATGGAAAAAAAACATGGTGTCCACCACACACACAAAGCGTACCCCAAACACAAAAGCATATGAAAGCTCACATAGGTCTGGCTGAGTTCATTTTTATATATCAAAAAACAAAGGTTCGTTTTTGGTCTGCCCAGTAGCCCTACCTATATTTTTTTATTAGTGTAGCCCTATCCTACTTTACAATGGAGGGTTCCTAAATCCATAATTCCAATAGCTATCCTCCACAATCTGAGCTTCAATCTATATCTCGTTGGTCACTTGGAATTTGATCATAAAAGATGCATTAATTGAACCTCACTAAAACTTTTTATCCTTTTGTTTGATACTCAGCTCCACCCAAAATCCAATAGCTATTCTCCACAATTTGTGCTTTGACTTGTATTATTCACAAGAATCACAACCACATGGAACTTTCTCAACAAAGATGCAATAATCAAATTTCACTAAAACTCCTCATCCATTGGCTTCCATAGCTTACATCCACCCACAAGATGATGGTTCCTATCAGCATTTGCACTATCACAAATGAAATTGTTTTCTTCTTTTACAGAAGCAAGGATAGAAAACAAGGAGAAGCAGTAAACAAAGTGTGCCAATGCACCCCTCTTTCAAAGCTAGCACCAGCTACCTAACCCAAAATCCAAAAAACATCCAGCTATAAATAATCCTCCAAGATAACATACTTCTATTGATCACTTGCTTTAGCAAGACCGTTGGATGATCTATGGACCCATGTTAGCTCCATGCCCTCAGTTCCATAGTAGTTGGTTGGATGAATTTTAATATTTAAAGTAAATTAAAAATACAAATTATAATATAAAAATTAATATTATAGAAGTGGAGGAGGATTGTCAAACAATCATATTATGGATGAAAGCTCAGGACCAGATTCCTTGGCAGTTCAGGCATATGGTGAGGTTGGCATATTCCTTAGGTGTCAGATTGAACACCTCATTCAACTGGATTCCTAGGAGTGCTAATATGCCAGCTGACTTGTTGGAAAAAAAAATGGGGTAGGGAGAATTTGTTTGGGTTGGGGTTGCCCAGGACCAGGCTGTAATTTGTAAAAGCTTTCTGTTTTTATTCCCTMATGGGCTTCTCTAAAGGAAGCTGTTGTTACAGGCCAGCTGCTTTTGTTTTGAGCAGTTTAGTGATCTTATTTAGTGAAATCTTTTCTGTCACTTATCAAAAAAAGTTAATATTATAAAATGGAATGAACCATGACCCATAGATTGGATTGAATGGTTTAGTGCTTTGAATGCCCTAGCTAAAGAGATTTTGACTAAGCCAACAGGCTTTTTTGTCTATTGATGGGCTTGGGATTTAACCATTCCGTCTTGGCCTCCGGGTGACAGATTGAATGGTTTGACCATCCAGGTTAACAATGGATTGAAAACACTGGCGTTGATGTCAAAGCCGCCATCCGTCACCTGTAAATGATATACAGCCATTACCCAATGTTTGTTCCAACCATCTGGGGTCTTGGGAGGGGTATACTGTGGGTACAGTCCTAAACTTTGACATTCTTTTTTTAACACAAACTGGCCACCCTCAGACTGGAATCCACATATGCTGGCCCGAGATTTTACCCTTACACTTTAAACCAAGTAATGGCCCCTGCCATCCCTAAATGATATCATCCATAGAATAAGATTGAAACAATCTTTAAGGATTTTATCAAGTTTAGGTTATATAATAAAATAAATCATTTCCATTTGGGTCCTCAAGAATATCTTTCTCTCATATCTAATTATAGAAATCTTCACTAAAAAAGCATTCCATTTGGGTTCTCCAGCATGACAAACAAGAGGAACTTTAGTTGACAAAAACAATTAAAAATTTTACTTTTTGATCTATAAAAAGAAAACAAGTAGAACTAAAGATGATAATCATTATCTTTACCATACTATTATTTTCACTTGCTAATTAAAATATTGAGGAAACTCTTCTGAAAAAATAAACCTCACTAAATCTCCACATCTAGTTTGTATTTAAGAGAGTAAAAATGGAAAACTTACTTGTAGCAAGTTAATAAAAAAATAAAAGGCATATTGAAAAATGTTATAGAATCATGGAGAGTAAATAATTACCAAAAAAAAAACATTTTTAATTTCAATTATCTTTAAACCATGGGATTTTAAGTTTAGTGTATCCTAAAAGCATTCTTTTTTATGCTAAAATATATTATGTTCTTTGACTTAGAAAATTAACACTTGTAGTATCAGTGCATGCTAGTATGGCAAAATGCAAATCTAAAAAATACCTGGAAAATTATTTCATCGGGGATGTGGGGTAGCACCTCCCGTACTGTGTCAGCCATGGCAAGTATATTTGATATATTATCAGTTGCAGAGGGTGAAGCATTCCTAAACCGTAAACCACCAGCATTTCCAGTGTACCTTGTAGCCATAGCCACAGGAGGAACAGAGGAACCAGAGACAGCTTGAGGTTGTGTGATAGGCCAAAAGCTCCATGCAGCATCTTCAAGAGCAGTCTGAGCATAGGTTTCACCCACAGATGCAAGATGTCTCATCATCATTTGGAATCTGCCCAATCCAACTGATCTAATTGCAGTAGATGGACCAGCACCATCAAGAGCCTGGCTTGGCCAAGGATGCAGCCAACTTGAATCCACACCCACACCCCTAAAAATCCAAATACATTGGTAGTTGCAAATGAGAGTTGTGAAATGCAGGTAGGCTTCATGAACAGGACAAAGGCAAGAAACTGAACCTCCATGGACTACTTTCTAAAGGATGTTGTGGCTGTTCAGAGAATGCCCCCATAGGAAGTGCATGTCCAGATGTGTCTGGCTGCTCCAATCCTGATCCTATTTGACGAGCAAGCTGCTCATCACTTGAGACATTTCTAGAATTGGGGTTTGAGTTGACTTCAGGTCTGACCACAAAAAGTGGCCTCCGACAAGTTGGGCAAGAATAAATCTCACTTAGACCTTGATCCAACCTGAAATTATTAGATAACCAGATATTGGATAATATCCACTTTCAAGCATAATTGAAGAATACTGCACTAATAAATGAACATACCAAGACCTCAAACATGCTAGATGGAAAAGGTGATTACAAGACAGCTTTTTAGCCTTGGCCATTGGTTCCTGTTATATTCCAATTTTCCAAATCATACACTATCCCTGGGAAAGCCAATGACCAATTAGATCTAACAAGAGAGAAAAGAGAGAACTAAGCTTACTCTACAAATTGCACATTCGTCATCATATGCTTGTAGCTCTTCAGATGTTGCATCAGGAAGTGCCCCATGAAGAGCACTTAAAGCCATTCTCAACTTGATGAACCCTTTTATTCGCTTTATCATTGTGCTAACCAAGGCCTATTCATAGTGCACATCTGAACAGTGAGTACAAGGAACAAGACATTGAGACATGAAAATCTTAAAGGACATTACAATTCCAATATGGGAGTGGCAGGAATATTTACACGTATATTAAGGAAAAGGACGGCATCTACAAGATGGAAGGCCATGCCATGAAGCCACCAAATATGTAAATGATGACCAAGTGCCATTAACAAGGTCATCATGTCAAGGAAAAAACCAAAATTCCGAATAAGAATACCCTTCCATTCCAATAGAGACCCTACAATCAAACATTTTTAATCAGGAAAATCAAACATCTAAAACAACAATATAATTATAGAAACATCAGCTAATCATCGAAGGCAAGTTTGAGAATTACAAGGATCCAAGAGGGAATACAATTTTTTCCATAGCCAAAGGTATCCTGAAGGATGCCCAAATGTAAAATCACCAAGCATGTTTATCCTGGCAATAACTGACAGGGAATGCATAACATTTGCAAGACCACTAAAGGTTACATGAACAGACAACCCAGAACAGGCTATGACGAATCCCTCTTTGACAAGAAAAAATCATAGCAGTTATTTGGACCCCCCCCCCAAGAAAAAAAAAGAAACATTAGGCTAAACTTTCATGGGTGCTGTTTTTGGAACCTAAGAATGTCAGGAATTGGAGGAGCTTTTGGGGACTAAAGGAAATTTGGTTGCATTATTCTCTAGACAATGATTAAGATTAGCCAAATCCTTAAATCTTTGACATCTGATGGAGGAGAGGGATCCTTAATTCACTGTGGGGTGGATGACAAGAAAAGGCTCTTCAATGTATAGAAATGTCTTGAGGGAAATTGAGGAGCTGTGTAGTAAGCTGAATAAAGTTTGCAGATGGGCCCCAAGGTGAACCAACTTCTTGGCTGATGGCTTAGTGAAATATTGAGCAGTCTACTTGTACATCACTTTCCTCTTAATTAATAAAATTTTGGACTGTAAATGGTCAAAAAACAGAAACAACCTAGAAGGCCAAAACACTTTCAATATTTTCATCTTAGTCTGGGTGCAAGTAGGACTATTTTTTGTAACAAGAATTTTATTTGGAATGTACCAGAGGTTTTTATTTTTTGCAGATAACAGTATCATATTAAAAAATAAGACAAGAAATCACAATGTCCCTTGTCCTGGGTTCATGCACATCAAATAAATAAAAATAACAACTGCACAAATACCTGCAGCTGATCTATTAAAAAACTGTGATGTTTGACAGTCTGTTCTGCTTTCTGCTGAATGGCGATGCCACAAATCAAGGAGCTGAAACCCATGAACCATAATTGCCTGCCAAATAATTTTGCATGGCAAAGAACCTTATAAACCAACTTGTAGAACATAAGCGAGGAGAAGAATATCTAAGCCCTCTTAAAAGTTTTTTCTGCTATTAAGCTCACAGGAATTCAAGCATGCTGACTATTATTACCTGTAATGTCTCAAAAGCAATGCTCATAGGCTCAAAGAGTAAGAGCAGAAATGTGGTTGAGCCTAAAGATTTGCATATCATGAGACAAAGTCTTATCCTGTAGACCACAAGCATAATAAATAAGATATATTTCAAGATTATTGAGAATGTTACAAAAATATTTACATCTGCAACATCCATTAAGAGCACAAAGTGACAATGGCTCTGCAATTGTCCCATTCAAATTTAAAATACAACTCCACTCTTTGACATTCCTCCTACCTAGTGAGACATCCTAGTTTCTCTATCACCCACATATAGCTTTCTTGACTGAGACCATTCCAAATAATCTCTTCCATTGAGTTTGATGTAATGAACTGAATATTCAATCATTGTAACTGATGCAGAACATTACAAATCCAGAGTGTGCAGCTTTCTTGTTTTTGAAATTAGAAGACATTTCAAAAAGCAACCACTCCAAAATAATAAGAGGTATGCATGAAGCAAATCTCTTTCCTCAGAACAGACTTCTACGAAGTCCAGAGGAGGTACAAATCAAAAAAGAATATTCAACCAATCTACAGTCTAGGACAAAGTTCCAATTAACAATTTCAGATCCGCATATGGGCCAAGTCATACAGAGCAAAAAACAGACTTGTATCGCAGGGTTCAAGAAGAAAAAGAAGGTTCATGCACCAGTGGGCAGTGGAGAAATTGAGGCATAAAATCACTCACTGAGTGTTCAATAATCCAAACAATATTGACCTTTAATCGAAGTATGAACAAAAGTCAGGCAGATCAAACCATGATAGTCCCACAAATAGAAACATACACAATCAAAGCACCAATCCATTTATTAGAATCTGGAATTTTAAATTTTTCGCCAAAAAAATCTTAAAGTTTATCATATTACTCCAAACATTAATGAAAACTGCATGGATAAGCTCCTAAATTCAAGTAGTCCTAGAATCTAAAACCTCTTTAGAACCTGCAGACCACCTCTGCCGACATCAGCAGGATATCCAATATCATGCATCAGTCAATCACCAAAAAACAAGAGTGGATCCTCCCCACTGTCTGCTCTGATACCAAGTAGACTAAGGGCCTGTCTGTTTCCTCTTAACTCTTATCTCTTAAGAGGAATCTTTTAACTTTAAGAGAAAAATGGTTGTTTGTTTCCTCTTATCTCTTATCTCTTAAAGTGCAATCATACAACTTTTTGTTTTCCAATGATACCCCCAAAAAGACAAACAAAAAACTCTCAAATACGGGGTCAAAATGGATATTTGATAATTTTTAGAATTCAGAATTCATAACAACATTCTCTGCATTCAGAGTTCAGAGGAAAGAAAAGTTCACCAATACCAATATACCTCTTAATGTAATTATTGCACTTTCAGATGTCAGACTTCAGAGCAAACGAACAAGCCCTAACTGGCACAAGAGAAGAAAAAGAGGGAAAAAAGAATAGTAGAGAGAAAGAATCTGCAGGCCTATGGCCTTCAGTTTTAAGGAGTATATCAATCTTCACCGTGTCTGATAACATAAGTTTTAAGGAGATATGGTTCAGAGGAGGTTGGTAAAGAATGTTGTTGGTGGGTGATGTTATTGTTTGGTTTTAAGAGTTTTATTGACAAAGCTGTCTTTAGATGGGGAAAAGGATTGGAAGAGGTCAACAGAGGTAGAAGGAAGAAGTTTTAATGCTGAAAGGAGAAGGAATAACAAAAGAAACTTCATTGCCTTATATGAATATTTTGGAAAAAGAAGAAAACAACTGCTAGTGTTTCCTGAAGAAAGAGACAGAGCAGGGTGGGGTTTAATTTCTAAAATGCTATAGGAATTTATTCGGTATTTGGAAGTAAGCAAAATTGGTAAGATAGATGAGAAATCAATACAAGAAAGCTTGTACTTACAGAATGAAATTTTAGAAGAGAACTTAACCTTGGTTGGTAGAGTGGGTAGTGCAAGATGGAGATTCAGGGTGAGACAAGGGTTGGGAGAAGATGTTAGTAGATGAAGTGAAAGGAGAAACTCATGCTTGGAGAAAGGTAGCAGATGCGATAATCAGAAGTTTAAATCTGAAAGGGGCGATGACATTTACACCATTTGAAAAGGTAAAGCAATCATTGATCTGGTCGATGAAGAGTTGAAGTTAGAAGTCATAAATATTCAGTCAGATTGTGGTAACGTTTTAGTTTCAAGATGGTCCCCATTATCCAATGCAAAGAAGCTGCTTGTGGAGGACGATGTGACCGTTTGTGTTATTGAGCTTCTTTCGATCTGTGGAAGCTTGAAGCTTTTTCATCCATTGTGTCAATATGTGGAGGTCACCTGAATGGAGTTTCCACCTTCAGTCTTCATTCTGTGGCTATACTCCTCAGCAGGGTGAAGCCGGAGGATATACCCAGGAACAGGAAGGTGGAGGTTTTGGTTGATAGTTTCTTTTACTCAGTCTGGTTGGAAACCTCCATTGAAGCATCACTCTGGTTGGAGGTCTGCAGAGAAGCAAACGAAGGGGTCAAAGAAGAGTGGTTACGTGGTGGAATAGGAGTGCATTATTTCAAAAACATAGCAGAAATACCAAAAGAAGGGGAGTTAAATCTGGACACAATTATGCAGGAAAACATGCAGACTTGACAGGTTCCTCTTATCTCAAGATTGGCTGGAAAGATTTCCCAATCTTTCCCAAGACCTCTGTCATCGTTGCATTTCAGACCACTGGCCCATTAAGTTGAACACAGATCTAATCTCAAGAGGAAAGCCTCCTTTTAGACTAGAAAAATGGTGGACCCATCACAAGGATTTTAAGGAGATGGTAGCTGGCTGGTGGGAGGAGTGTGAAGTAGAGGGATGGACTGGTTTCAGACTGTTACAGAAATTAAAATTCTTGAAGAGGAAGTTGAAATCTTGGGGAAAAGAACAGCTTAAAGCTGGTGAAGAAGACAAAAGGAAGATGCTCACGGAATTGGATGAATTAGATGTAAAAGAGCAAAAAGGCACTTTAGATGATTCAGGCAGAAGAAGAGCTGAGCTGAGGAAATCTTGGGAAAAGTTAGCCCGAAAAGAGGAAATTTGCTGGAGGCAGAGATCTAGAGTGAGGTGGCTGAAAGAAGGAGATAATAACTCCACATTTTTCCACATGTATGCCTCAGGGAGAAGAAGGAAAAACTTCATTTCCAAAATTAGAGTGAACCAAAGAGAAGTGGAAAATTCTGAAGACAAATTGTGGATAGTATCTTAATTGCAAATGAGTGTGTAGAAGACAGAAAGGCTCATGGGAACCCAGGGGTTCTAGTCAAGTTAGACCTTGAAAAGGCCTATGATAAAGTTGACTGGGAGTGTATCTTGGACTGCTTGAGAATGAGAGGGTTCGGCAGGAGATGGATCAAATGGATCAAAGGATGCATTGGCTCATCTTGGTTTTCAGTGCTCCTAAATGGAGAGTCTAAGGGCTACTTTAAGGCCAGGCGAGGGCTTAGACAAGGTTGTCCACTCTCTCCTCTCCTCTTTACCTTAGTGATGGACATCTTCAATTTTTTATTTGACAAAGCCAAATTACTAAGTTTGGTTAAGGGTTTTGAAGTGGGAAGAGATATGGTCCAGGTTTCTCACTTGCAATTTGTTGACGACATCATCCTATTCTTGGATGCATCCATGAAAGACATTTCTAATGTGAAGAGGGTGATCGAAGCCTTTGAATCAGTTACCGGGCTGAGGGTTAATTTCAGCAAATCTAGTATTATACCCATATATTCAGTTGAAGAGAGCCTCCTAGAGAATTTCAAAGCTGTTCTGAACTGTAAAGTGGAAAACCTCCCCATTACCTATCTAGGAATGCCCCTTGGAGGCAACCCAAGAACTCTAAACTTCTGGGGACCAGTGGTGGAGAAGTTTGATAAGAAATTAGCTTCGTGGAAAAAATGCTACCTATCAAAAGGGGGTAGACTGATTCTCCTAAAGGCCTCTCTAGCCAACTTACCAATTTATTATCTTTCTGTCTTCAAAATTCCTCCTAAAGTGAGAAACTATTTAGAGAAAATCCAAGGAAACTTTCTTTGGGGTGGAGGAGGGGAGAATAGAAAGCACTTGGTAAGTTGGGATCAAGTGTGTAAGTTGAAGGAGGATGGAGGATTGGGAGTTGTTGCGCATTTGAAAGAGAAGAACAACTCTCTTGAGCAAATGGCTATGGAGATTCCCTGTAGAATCCAATACTCTTTGGGCAGCTGTCATCTCTAGCAAATATGGAACAAATATAAATGGGTGGGACAGTAATCTTCATTTGAACCAGGTAAAGAATTCAAATCCATGGAAAGGTATAGTTTCTTCACACTCTTCTTTCCTTCCTTTCATTAGACTCAAAGTGGGAAATGGAAATAAAATAAAATTCTGGAAAAATCTCTGGTGGGGAATACCACTCTAGCAGAATCTTTCCCTAGAATCTTCAATCTCTCCACAGACCAAGATTCAACTGTTTCCTCTTGTATCCCAGCTTTACCTGCCGATATTAACTTGACCCTGAACCTGAGAAGACCTCTAAGGGACACTGAGATCTCAGACCTCATAAACCTCTTCCTCACCTTAAAAGAAGTCTACACCTCCCCTCATTCCATTGACACCCGAATTTGGACCCTCAACCCAAATGGTGTTTTCTCTTCCAAATCTATGTTTAAGGCTCTAATCGCAGGTGATCAGATCTCCTCTTTCCCGTTCAAGAAGGTATGGAGCAGTCATATTCCTCTAAGAATTTGCTTCTTTGTCTGGGAAGCGTGTCTACAGAGAATAAATACGTGTGATCTTCTTCAGAAAAAAAGCCTGGGAAGGTCTTATATTTCTCCTCATGCATGTGTGCTTTGCCTAAGAGAAGGGGAATCTGCAGATCATCTACTCATTCATTGCAATTTTTCTCAAAAGATTTGGTGGCATTTCTTAAACCTGACTGGATATAGTTGGGTCTCTCCAAAGCATATTCAGGAGTTCCTCAACCAGTGGCATGTGTCAGGCTTGAGCAGAAGAGGTAAAGTGTATTGGAAAACTGTGGTACATGCAATTTTGTGGGGAATTTGGGAGGAAAGAAACAGGCACGTATTTGAAAACAAAACCAGATCTCTAGAAGAATTAATTTCAGATATATTCTTTTGTTGTAATTTTTGGGCTGCTAAC